GCTGGGTAACGTGATCTGGCGCACAGGGTGGCTCTCCCTCCTGTCCCTCTCCCTCTCTGTCTCTCACTGTCCTGTCGTGCTTGGACCCTTGGCTGGTGTCGGGCTCTTCTTCCCAAATTTCTCCAGCTTGACTTTTCCACTTGTGGCTTCCTTACAAGGGCCCGGCATACACCGGCACACAGTGGGCATCTGGCGAGTGTCGCCTGACTGTGTTCTGTGGGGGAGGGCCAGCCTCCAGAGGGCTGGGTAACCGTGGGGAGTGCCGTTCCTTCAACAGCCACCCACCCTGCTCCTGGAAGGCTCGTGCTCCCGGGCAAGGTGGAAACTGCTGTGGGTGGATGCTTTATAGACAGAAGCAGCAGAACAAGCAATCTGGAGCCAGCAAGAGAGACTGGGGTGCAGACGAACAACATGGACTCTAAGCAACCTGAGGGCAGGAGTGTGTCCTCCATGGTGGCAGCCTCTGGCCCACCTCGAGCCCAGCAGCTCTTTGTTGACTAAGTAACAAACGAATGAATGAATGAACGAGCAGTTGGCTGGACTAGGCTCGATGTAGCTCAGAGCAGGGGACATTTAACCTGCCTAAAATCATAAGAGAAGGCTTCATGGAAGAGCTGGAGCCCTGGCTGCCTCGAGGGGGTCTGGAGACAGTGGAATGGCACTGAGACAGGGAGGGGACAGTATGAGCGAAGGTGGGGAAGGCATTGTATGTGCGTGGACAGGGGACAGCTGGAATTTGCCACCTAGAGTTTATTGAGCACCTAGTATGGGCCAGGGCCTGTGCTAAGAGCTAGGGACACACCAGGGACCTAGCCACACCTGGCTCCTCCCCTCATGGAGCCATCAGACAGTGACAGGTAATCACAGGCGTGATAAATCCCACAGTGGCTTGAGGAACACAAAACTGGATGCAGGGCATTGCCTGCGGCAGCAGGAAGGCTCCCTTTGGCCACAAAGGACAGGCAGCTGCTGAGGGGTGAGGCCCTGCTGGGCTGCAGCACCGCTGTGTGCTGGGGATGAGGCAGACAGGTGTGGCCTGGGGATTGCATTATTCCGAGCACTTTCTGCCACGTGCACTCTGGTCTCTCTGGGCAGGTGCGAGGCTCTCAGCAGCCTCTGCCCCGTGGGCCTGGCAGGGTAAGCGGGCCCCTCTTGGGTCCCCCCCCACCACCACTCTGACATCTGCATGTGTCTTGCTGCCGACAGTGAAGGCTCAGGCCAGATGGATGTCATAAACAGGAAATTCCCCTCGAACCTCTCTGCGTTCTCATCGGGGCGCCGCGGGAGCCATCTGGCTGCACACGCGGCGACGACGTCGGCTCCCGCTAATTACTGCACACGCTCCACAGCAGCCTGTTCTTGGAGAGACTCAGTGTCCTCCTCGTTTCCTCCTGTCCCTCCCCTGTCCCCGACTTCCCTGCTGGGCCGCAGCCCCCAAACCTCCACTGAGTTTCTGGGAATGGTGGGGCGGGGAAGGAGCAGGCGATGGGTTACCCTGGACGCCCCCCACCCCCAGGCCTCCCGAGGTCCTGTCCAGCCAGCCCCAGGCCCAATCAGCGGCTGTGGCTTCGCCTTTTCCCCGAGTCTTGTTGGAGCTTGGGCAGGCGCCGCTCTATGCTGGGTTGTAAAGGCAAATGAGATGGACAGGGGGCGTCCTCCTGGAGCCACAGGCAGACGGGTAACAGGTGGTCACGAGCCCCGTGTGGTGAGGGCTGTGATGGTGGGAAGTGCAGGCAGCAGTGGGAGCCCACAGGATGGACCTACCAGCGTGGGAAATCAAGGCGGCCTTCCTGGAGGAGGTGATGTGTAAGTTTTGAAAGTAGGTGTTATCTTGGTGAACAGGAAGTACAGGCATGTCCTAGGTAGAAAGAACAGCCTGTGCAAAGGAGGGGAGGGGACATGGACCTGGCCCCCTGAGGAGGAGCAGTGGTCCAGTGCTGCTGGGCGGAGGACGCACGTGGTGGGTGTGGTGGGCGTCGGGGGGTGTTCTGTGTATGTCTGCCCAGGCTATGCTGCTGTGCTTGGGTTTTGTCCAGGGAGCAGTGGGCAGCCACAGGGTAGTTTACAGCAGGGCAGTGATGTGGCCGGATCAGCATTTAGAGCAGACACGGTCTCCACCAGGCCGGCCCTGGGTTCTTATTCTGCTCTCTGCAGGCCTCAGCTTGTCCATCTGTAAAATGAATTCTCCCTCTCACCATTTCTTCCCCTGTGATACAGTGACTGGCACCCCTTCTAGGAAATGACCGGGGGCTGGTCAGAAGATACAACTTTTATAGTTGAGAATTGTTTCCACTTTTGAAAGTTCCCTTTGTTGTTTTATAAAAGAAGCTCCCACTTCCTATCGTTTTAAGGGCTTGGTGAGGGAGGGGGTGAGGGGTTCCCTGTGCCCTAAAGTTCTTAGAAGAAAGAAGGCAACTTCTGAGATAATGGAGTCTGGAGCTGCCTTTTCAAGTATGACGACATTGGGGTTCAGAGACGCCCACTGCCCTGCCTGAGGCTGCACAGCATGTCTGTCGTGCAGTTGTGTCTGTGAGCCAGAACTCCTGTCCCAGCCCGGTCTCCTTCCCCTGACTCACGCCGTCCCCAAATCACCATCTGAGGCACCGCAGCGGAGTCCAGGGAGGGAACTGCGACCCAGCCCCAAGTGCGGTTGAGTGCAGATGTTTCAGCCTCAAACTGATTTGGCCCTTGTTTGGTGGGTGTTGACACGTTGATATTACCTAACTTAAAAAAAAAGCTGTAGATGAGAAAAGCCAAGCTCGGGGTGGGGGAGGTATGGAGCCACGCAGGGGAAAGGCTTACCTGTCACTGGGACACATGCGTCTGTGTGGTCTCTTCTCTCCACAATTTAAGGATTGAGCCACCTGCTCAGGGCTGCCCAGCTGACCCGAGACACTAGCTGGAGTGTGTGTCACACCATCGGCAGGGCCGTGTACAGAGCACCTTCTACGTCCCAGGCACCGTGGGCTCCATGTGCGTGATGTCACTCATACTTGCCACCTCCCGTGATTCCAGATGAGGACATTGTCTCTCAGGGATGGTGGCTCTCACCAGGGCCACCTCCCATCTGCTCTGCTCTGCTGCTTGCCAGGGCAGGGGGACTTCATGTCCCTGGGCAGTGTCCCCAAGGGGTGGTCCCTGGCCACCTTTCTCAGCCACCTAGGGTCTTGACAAAGCCCCAGTTCCTACCCCCCTCACTGAATCAGTCTCTGGGCAGGGCCTGGGAGTCTGCATGTCTCACATATGTGGGGGGGGCTCCCTCTGAGCGTGTGTGAGCCTGTGGCCCAGGGTCCTGCATGGGTGCACGTGACACACACGCAGCAGTGTGCAGAGACCTGTGCTGATGAAAGAAAGAACAAATGAAATAAGGAAGGAAGAAAAGAGAAAGATAGATCTAATGTTTAAGTGTCACTCCCAAAGGGAGCAAATTAGTACATCATGGTATGGTCATGCAAGGAAATATTATATAACAGTGAAAAAGGAATGAATTAGACCTACACACAGATGCATGATGCTGTTCATAGACATGTTTTAAAACATGCAGACCAGCACTGTCTATTATTTACGGATGCATCACCACTGTGGGAACAGCTGGCTTTGCTGAGTGCCTCCCTGCACCAGGCACTGTGCTGTGAATATGTCACTCTGTTCTCTTGGCAACCGCATGAGGGATAAACATTACTGTTGACTCTGTTTTCCATAATGAGACAACTGAGGCACAGGAAGTTGAGGGACTTGCTCAACCTCACGCAGCAAGCACATGGCACCCTGTGTGTCATCTCTAACTGTCCTCAGAGAACTTGCCACAAGTGCCTGCTGGATGTCCGGGACACACTGTGGAGGGGGTTCTTGGGTAGGGGGGTTATCGCCCCACCTTGCAGATGGGGAGACGGAGGCCCAGCAGGGCACAGCTCGTAGCCTGAGGTCGCACAGGCGAATTGCTCATGGTGTTGACTTGTTTAATAACTGCGTGCCCAGCACTTTGTAGCATCTCATATGATCCTTGCCGCTGCCTGGGAGACGGGGGCTAAAGGATCCCTAAGGATCCTACAAGGGGCTCTATGATCCCCATTTTGCAGAGGAGGAAACAGAGACTCAGCAGAAAGGGGACTGGGGACGAGGACTGGAGCCCAGGGCTGTTCGGTTCTGGAGCCCAGTTGGTCATCTCCAGTGAGCACAAGGCTGGGGCCTGGCCCTTGGGGTCCCCCACCCCCTGTGCTGGCCGCTTGTTCTTGGCGCCAGCCGGGGCCAGTGGCCACAGCTGCCCTCGCTGTTTTACGGGGGCAGAGGCTGTACGAAGCCAGCACATATGGGCTGGTGACATCATGTCTACAGGGGCCCCTTGGGGTCCAGTCCAGCTGCAGGAGCCTGGCTGGGGGTCCTGGATCCCTGTGGCTTGAGGGTCAGGTGACTCTAGCAAGGTGGGCAGGATTGGGGAGGGTGATGATGGGGGTGGGTCTCTACAGCTTCCTCCTGAGGGCCCTCGACACAGCTCTGGACAACAGAACAGCAAAGGCACTGGATTCAGGGTCAGGGGGGCCCTGGCACTTAGACACAGAGGGCCCCGGGCTGGTGGCTTCTCCCTTGAAGCCGAGGGAGGGGCCTCCTAATGGTGCTTCATGGACACCTCACAGGGCAGGCGTGACCAGTAGCGGAGGGGGAGTTCCCAGCAGCCGCCAGCAGGTATCAAGTGGTGACCAGGGGCCAAGCCCTCTCATTATTCCTGTTTCACGGATGAGGAAACAGAGGCTGTGACAGGCAGAGTGGCTTGCCTGAGGTCACACAGCGAGGAGGGGTTCAGAGTTTGGACTCCTAGTCCAGTGCTCTTTATCTCTTCCACCAGTAGGGGTGGGACTGGCCCTGGCCTGGTGGTTCAAGGAAGCGGAGGTGGGACACTGGACGCCACCTCAGTCCCAGGAGGCTTCCTGGGGGAGGCGGCTGGTTCCAGTTGGTGTTGAAGCCTCTCCGTGGGGTCTCACCACTGTTCCTTACTCCCACAGGCATGGCCTCCTCCCATCGGGCTCCCTGCGTCTGGCCCAGGGCCAGGTGGGTGACAGTGGCCATTACGAGTGCACAGCCAGTAACCCTGCGGGGTCCACCTCCCGTCGCTACATCCTCAGGGTGCAAGGTAAGGCCTCAGTCTCTCCCTCCATCTGTCCCTCTCTCAGGCCTCTCAGTTCCCCTGTCCTGCCCCCATGCCCAGGCCATCAGCTTCTGTCACCTCTCCATGGCGCCTGCCACTCTCCCCACCTCTTCTCGTTCCCCTCCACCCCCTTTCTCCACCTCTCCCCTTGGTTGGGGTCTGGAGAGGCTGTTTAGAGGCCCCTAAGAACAGAGGGCAGGGGCCCAGTGGGGGCCTAGGGCGGGGGTCGGGAGGGGACCCTGAAGGCGGGCCTGGGAGCATCTCTGCCCAATGGCTTGGTGGAGTTAAGAGGCTGCTGGGGTGCCGTTCGGAGCCACTTCCTGCGGGGACCATCCCACCCCCGCTGCTGCCCCTTCAATGAGGCACTTTCCACATCTACGGCAGGAGTCATTTAGTGAGCACCTGCTGTATGCCAGGCACTGCACTGAGCTTGCAACGTGTATCCTTTCGTCTTTGGCCAAGGTTCCTAAGCCCCCATGGGGTTCTGGTTCCAGGTCCCCAGAGTGGCCATTCACCTGGGTGTCCAGGTTCCATTCAAAGGAAGCCAGCCAGTGAGAGTCATATCCCAAAAGATAGGGAGCCTGTCATCTCCAAGTGCCCTGAGGAGTCATCTAAGACAGGACAAACACTGGCCCACCTCCTGTTTTCATAAGGCCCATGAGCAAAGAATGCTTTCTGTATTTTTAAATGATTGATAAAAAAAAAGACAATAGTTTTGTGACATTTGAAAATTATATGCAATTCAGATTTCAGTGTCCATAAGTACGTGTTTTATTGGAACGCAGCCCTGCACATTTGTCTCTGTGTCATCCGCGGCTGCTTTTACACTCTAATGTCAGAGTTGAGTATTTGAGACAGACCATCTGGCCTGCAAAGCCTGGAATATTCAACATCTGGTCCTTCACAGAAAAAGCTTGCTGACCCCTGATCTAAGCTAACATCCCATTTTACAGATGGATAGGCTGAGGCTGGGAGAGGGGATGCTCAAAGTTTGCCGTGGGCGTGCGTGGCACGTGAGAGACACGGGAGCGGGATGCAGCGTGAGGAGCGGGGCCTCAGAGGCGGCGGAGCTGGATTGACTCTGCCACCGACTGGCTGTGTGACCGTAGTTGCTGGGCCTCTCTGAGCCTTGGTCTCCTCTGTAAAGTGGGGGCCACAATAATGCCCACCCCACAGTCATGAGAAGGTACCAGTGACATGAAGGCTCAGAACAGTGGACGCTGCTATTGTTTTCAGCAAGAGTATGCGAGAGAGATGGGCAGGCGTGTGCACCTCTGTGCTCCTGGGCAGGGAGCCCCCCTGGGCTGCAGGGTCCTGGGCCACGAGGCCCTGGGCCGAGGGGCTGGTCTCTGCCCAGGGGCCAGGTTCCCACAGATGGCCTTAGCTCCAGGCTCCTCCTCAGAAGCTGGGAAGGGGGTGGGTATTCCTCAGTTTCTCCCAAGGGCCGAAGACACTTGTCCCAGTTTCCCATGCATCTTCTGGAGCAGTTGGCTCCTGGGCCCTGAGAATTCTCCTGGGCCCACTGGAAGCCGCCTGGGCTCTTGGTCACTTGGCCCCAGGGTGGTGTCAGCTCCCACTCCTGTCATCTGAGGGAGGGGTGACTCTGGCTAAGTCATACAGACTTTCAGAGCCTCAGTTTCTTCATCTACAAAAGGGACATGGTGTCACCCACCCAGGAGGAAGGATGAATGAGACAGAGGATGAGAAAGGGACTTGAAGACATAAATTCGAAGGAAATGAAAACCGCCATCCTCCCCACAGCCAAGGGCAGGAACCAAGTCAAGCTCAGTGATTCTAGCTGCAGCGTGTCGGGTGCCACTGTGCGCCGCCTTGTGCTGGCTGCTCTAGTGCTGCCTCCCATTCCTCGGGTGGCTTTGTGACAAGGGGAAACCGAGGCTGCGGCGGCTCAGGGTCTCGTGGCTGTGAGGAGCTGAGCTGGGATTCGAGCCACCACTGAGTGTGCTGCTTCTCAACCTTGCTGGGCCATTCTGAGTCGGTCCCAATGCCCCCCTGCACCTCAGTTTCCCCATGTGTGCACGGAGCTGGATGTATCCCGGGTGGCACTTCTCACGGGCGGGGTGCGGGGATAAGCAAGCCGGGGGAGTCGCTGCTGCTCACCTTGTGGGGAGTCCAGGCCGGGTGAGCTAATGTCTTTTCCCCACATAGCGAGGAGTTGCCAGCCTCTGATTGCCCCCGTGATGATTTTGCTGGCTGGTGGCATCTGAGATGTGGCATGGGTCTGGGCTCCAGGCCTCTCACCTGGCCCCCCACCTTAACACCCCTCCCTGTGGCCCTGTCAGTCCCCCCTCAGGTGCAGCCGGGTCCTCGGGTCCTGACGGTGCTGGCAGGAGAAGCTCTAGATCTGAACTGTGTGGCTGAGGGCAGCCCCGCGCCCCGGCTGAGTTGGTCCAAGGATGGGGTGACCCTGTCGGGCGAAGGGCCTGAGGGCTCCATTCACTTCTCAGACATCAAGACGCCCGACGCTGGGATGTATCGCTGCGAGGCCTCCAACAGTGCCGGGGTGGATGCTTGGGCGCTGGAGCTCAGGGTGCTGGGTGAGTCTCCCCCCATCGCCCCTCCTCACCTCCCCCATCCACAGCCTGGACTTGGGAGGTGCTTGTCTTTGCTCTGGGCTCGGGCCTGCCTGGCCCTTTCCTCCCTGGGACCTCCTTGCCTGTAGCTGTGGGGCCCTCCTATGCCCAGGAGCTGTCGTCAGCCTTTGGGTACTAACCAGTAGGTCTTCAGAGCCACCACCAGGGGCTCCCCTCAGGCCCATGACCTGTGGGACCCCGAGTACCCAGGTGGCCAGAGGCACCTTGGGGCAGTGGCTGGAGGGTGGGTGCTGGGCCAGGACCAGCTCTCCCACTTGCCAGCCGGACAACCGCAGGCCAGTCATCTACTCTCCACCTGTGGTTTCTCACCTGTAAAGTGGGACCAATACTGGGGGGGGCGGGAGCGGGTGGGGTCAGTGAGAGAATGTGTACGAAGTGCCTGGCATATGGAAAGTTCTGGATCAGTGTGCTGGCATTTTCACTATTAGGAATTTAAAGGAGATTTGGAAAGGCACTGCTGGAAGAGAGTGGGAGGGCAGGACAGCATTCAGTTCCTTGTGTTTGAGGGCACAGCGCAGCCTGCCCAGCCTGTGGGGTCGTGCCCGAATGTCTGCTCCCTAGGGCCACCCTGCAGGAGACAAGCCATCACTATGGCCCCAATTGGGCTCTCCAGGAGGCTGAAGGCTGAGATTCTGGAAGGGATCGCCCTCCTGCTGGCCCTGGGTCCCTGGGGGGAGCGTCATGCTTTGGGCTCAGGGATGTGAGTGTGGCCGTGTTGCCTCCCATCAGAGCCACCGCACTGGGGGGCTGATGAGACCAGTGGCCTGCTGGAGAGAGTGGCCGGACAGAACGCCAGCCTGCCGTGCCCTGCCAGAGGTGAGGCTGGGCCCTGAGTGGGGCTGGGAAGGAGACCAGACCCACGCTCCAGCCCCCTGGGTCACACACCATGGGCAGTGTCCATGGCCTATGGAGGGTCGTGGGGTCCTTGCTTCCTGCCTGGACCGTGCCAGGCATTTCGTCCCATTGACAATCCTATAGGATGGGGATTAACGTTAGTCCCTTTTCATTAGGGGCAATCCAGGCCCAGAGGGGTTAAGTGACTTGCCCAACATCACACAGCAAAAATGTGACTCACAGAATGTGTGGTCTGGGTTGGCCCCAGTCCTTCCTGTCTGTTAAGCCCTGTACCCCTCAGCACCTGGGGGTGTGATCGCTGGGGCTGGGGTGCCCAAGGATCCTTGTGGATTGGGGCCTGGTGGTCACGCCTCTCCCCAAGCTCCAGATTTCTCACAGAGGACAGATTCATGTGGTCCTGGACAACCCCACTTTTCGGGGGCCGACTTTGGGGTGGCAGCACAGCGTGGGACCCAATAGCCACCTCTGGCCAGCTGCCCAGTACTGAACCCTGCTCCAGCCCTTCTTGGCTGTGTAGCTTGGGGCAGTTTACACCTTCTTTCTGAGCCTCCGTTTCCTCATCTGCATGGAGGGGTCATGCCATTGCCTCCATATAGGGCTACTGTGAGGATTCAGTGGCACCACATGAGTTTGGGGTCTCCACGCTGTGCCTGGCACCTGGTAGGGGCTGGAGAAATGTGCTGGGTGCCTGGATCCTACCTTCTGTGGACTCACTACCCACCCAGCACCCCCTCCCCTGCCGCCCTGCCTGAGTTGCTTCTTGTGGCTTCGGGCTCTTCTATGACTGGTGAGGGTCTTCCTCCCTGAGGATGTGCTGTCTGCCCTGTGCATGGCTGGTGTTCTCTAGAGGGTGACTTCTGGGTATCTGAGTAGCCAGTGGCAGGTGACACAAAGCCTGGCAGGAGCCTGGAGAACTGCCTCTAGACTCAGCTGCACCTCCTCCAGCTGCAGGGAAGTCCCTGGAACAGGACCAAGAGGGAGGCAAGTAGGAGTGGGCTGGCACATACCTGGGCAGGGGGCAGGCACCAAGGTGGGAGCTCTGGGAGCCCCTTGGCCCCCCATCTGCAGAGCTGCTCACCTGGAGGGGTCCCTGGGCCCTGCACCCTCAACCATGGTGCCACCTTGTGTCAGATTCTGGTAAGAGCAAGCAGCCTGTGTCCTTGGGATCAGAGGGCTGTGAGGGCTGAAGGGGACAGCCCCAGCCCAACCTGGCACATCGGGAGCCCCTGCTACCTGCAGCGTCACTATCCGCCTCCTCCTCAGGGGGCAAGATGGGAGGGCCAGCAGCCTGGACACCCACTTGTTTGTGACTTTGGACTCTCCTCTCTGCCTCTGCAGTGTGGGGAGGGGGGAGGCAAAGTAGTGATTTTCAGCCGCAGTTCCTGTCACAGAGCTTCAGGGCAGTCCTGCAGTTAGAGTTAGATTTTTTGCATTAAAATGGTCCCAGGTTTGGAAACCCAGTGCCCCTGCAGGCCAGCAGCTCCCCGGGGTGGTCGGAAGGATGGGGTGGGGGCTCTGGGGGAAGCTAAAGGAGCTGGGAAGGGCATGTGAGTGTGTGTATGTGTCTGTGTGTGTGATGTGTGCATATTAGTGTGTGTGTGCGTGTTAGTGTGTGTGTGTGGTGTGTGCATGTTAGTGTGTGTGTGTGGTGTGTGCATGTTATGTATGTGTCTGTGGTGTGTTCATGTTAGTGTGTGTGTGCGTGTGTGGTGTGTGCGTATTAGTGTGTGTGTCTGTGGTGTGTGCATGTTGTGTGTGAGTGTATGTGTACGCACACACCACACACGCACACACACACTAACATGCACACGCACACACCACACACGCACACACACACTAACATGCACACGCACACACCACACACGCACACACACACTAACATGCACACGCACACACCACACACGCACACACACACTAACATGCACACGCACACACCACACACGCACACACACACTAACATGCACTGTGTGTGGTGTGTGCATGTTGTGTGTGAGTGTGTGTGTGGTGTGTGCGTATTAGTGTGTGTGTGGTGTGTGCATGTTAGTGTGTGTGTGTGGTGTGTGCATGTTGTGTGTGAGTGTGTGTGTGTGGTGTGTGCATGTTGTGTGTGTGTGTGTGTGTGTGCATGTTAGTGTGTGTGTGTGGTGTGTGCATGTTGTGTGTGAATGTGTGTGTGGTGTGTGCATGTTGTGTGTGAGTGTGTGTGGTGTGTGCGTAATAGTGTGTGTGTGCATGTTGTGTGTGAGTGTGTGTGTGGTGTGTGCATGTTGTGTGTGAGTGTGTGTGTGGTGTGTGCATGTTGTGTGTGAGTGTGTGTGTGGTGTGTGCATGTTGTGTGTGAGTGTGTGTGTGGTGTGTGCATGTTGTGTGTGAGTGTGTGTGTGGTGTGTGCAGTGTGTGCATATTAGTGTGTGTCTGTGGTGTGTGCATGTTGTGTGTGTGTGTGTGGTGTGTGCGTATTAGTGTGTGTGGTGTGTGCATGTTAGTGTGTGTGTGTGATGTGTGCATGTTGTGTGTGTGTGGTGTGTGCATGTTGTGTGTGTGTGTGTGTGTGGTGTGTGCGTATTAGTGTGTGTGGTGTGTGCATGTTAGTGTGTGTGTGTGATGTGTGCATGTTGTGTGTGTGTGTGGTGTGTGCATGTTGTGTGTGTGTGTGTGGTGTGTGCATGTTAGTGTGTGCGTCTGTGGTGTATGCATGTTAGTGTGTGTGTGGTGTGTGCGTATTAGTGTGTGTGTGGTGTGCATGTTGTGTGTGAGTGTGTGTGTGTGGTGTGTGTTTTAGTGTGTGTGTCTGTGGTGTGTGCATGTTGTGTGTGAGTGTGTGTGTGGTGTGTGCGTATTAGTGCGTGTGTCTGTGGTGTGTGCATGTTGTGTGTGTGTGTGTGTGGTGTGTGGAGTGTGTATGTGCATGTGGCATGTGGTCTGTGTTGTGTGTGTACATATGTGTGGTGTGTATGTGGGATGTGGTATCTGTGGTGTGTGTGCATGTATGTATGTATGTATGTGTGTGTTATGTGTGGTGTGTGTAGGTATGTGTGGTGCTTGTGCAGTGTGTGTCCCCACAGTAGGGTAGCAGGTCCCTGGCAGTGGGACACTCTGGCCTGCATTCTGGGTAGAGGATTCCAGAAGAAAACAGAGATTGCGTAACTTGCCCAAGGACGTGCAGAGTGTGGGCGGACAGGGACGCAGGTGCCTGGGCCCCCCCTTCCCCTCACACCCAGTTGGAAGACTCCAGTGCTTTAAGGCAACAGTCAGTGTAGGGCGAGAGGGGCAGGGACCCTCCTGAAAGAGACGACACGCAGAATGCCTTGGTCCTGTCTTGACTCCGTGCTCTCCCTGCCTGTGACGGCCCCTTCCTCCCTGCGGCTGAGGGGGTGGAACGACAGAGGAGTCTACCAAGGGCAGCCCTGCTGCCAGCAGGTACAGGATGGCTGCTATCAACGACAACCAGTTTTAGCAACTGTAGTCCCGATGACTAGCAGTGGCGGCGGATGGCGGATGGGGTGTGACGTGGAGCCTGTGGATGGGACGGCTGCGGTCCTGAGGTCGCTTGGCACGTCAGCGCAGAGCTGGGGCTTTTGCTGTGACCATGGGCAGCCCTGCCTGGTGGGTCACCAGGAGAGCATGGAGAGCTGGGTCATTCATACAAGGCCCATTTGAGGACCTACTCCATGCAGGCCCTGTCCTAGGGGCTGGGGGGACAAAGGGACAGCTCCACTCACAGCCCAGTGGGGCGGGTGTTTATTGTGCATAGTCTGGTGGCAGAGACAGACACTGGATTGTCCAACAGGAGGAGTGTCTGAGAAGCAGTTTGGTGGGCGGGTGTGGTGCTCACGGTGGGGCTGGGGTGTGGCCAGCAACATGACCGGCCTGTGCTTGGTCGCATTGTGAAGGGAGGGACAGGCTGGGCAGGGCCGGAGCCTCGCGCCGATCAGGCACTGATCTGATGGCACAATGCAGCATGCTGAGCGTGGCAGGCTAGTTGATTTGTTTCGCACCTACTGTGTGCCAGGCACTCTGCTGGTGGCTGGGGGTGCAGCAGGGTATAAGACAAAGTCCATGGCCCTCGTTGGGGGAACCCCCATGACTGCGGGCCTCTCGGGGACCCTGGCAGACCATGTGGCTGTGCAGTACTGGGTGGGAAGGTGGCAGGTGTGTGGGCCTGCAGCTCCCAGGGAGCTGCTCCTACCAGTCCTGGGTCAGGAGGTGCCTGGAAACACCCAGCGAAGGGTCAGTGGAAACACCCAGGTGTTTGGAAACAGGTGCCTGGAAACACCCAGCAAGGGCATTTGCACAGAGGAGACACATGGTGGACAGTGCAATGTGGAGCAGGAAGTGTCAGGGTATTCGGTGATGACGACCCTGTGCACCCTTCTAGGGACACCCAGGCCACAGATCACCTGGAGGAAGGGCCCATCCTCGGATCCCCTGCATGGCCGTCCAGGTGTGGCAGTGCTGGATGAAGGGTCTCTGTTCCTGGCCTCTGTCTCGCCCACAGACAGTGGAGACTATGAGTGTCAGGCCACCAATGAGGCGGGCTCTGCGTCCAGGAGAGCCAAGCTGGTGGTCTATGGTAAGCAGGGACCCCCGAGCTGTGGGGACCCAGGGACGAGCTTGTACCCACACCTGTCGCCCCTGTCTGGCCAGAAGCCCATAGTGATGTGGGGATCTGATATATGCCAGGGTGCCCAAGTGTGGCAGCGCCTGCTCCCAGGGCCAGAGAGCTCACTGCAGGGGAGGCTGCAGGTCCCTGCCCCCGCGTGCCAGGGAGGGGGCGGGCTTGAGGGTGTTGGGAGAGTGGCAGGTTGCATGGGCACCCCACTTCCCCAGAGAGACACCACGGAGACTGTGTAGGGGGAGCACCTGGAACTCCACAAATGGCTTTTAAAATGGTCTAGCAGGTGAATCCATTTTAACATCAGCATCGATGGCAGTGGAGAGCCCCAGAGCCCACATCTAGGTTAAAACTGAAAACAGACCCAAGGCGCATGTCCCCGTCAGCAGCAGGGAGGGCTGCCCACCCCCCTCCACCATGCTATGTGCAGAGAGGGAGACAGGCTGGGGAGCTCTGCCTGCCAACGGGTGGGCATGAGCCTCGGCTCACTTTTATGGCTCCCAATGGCCACCTGCCACTTCCCCGGGACCAGCTGCCCTGGCTCGCCTTGTAACGACGTGCTTGAGAAGTTTATTAAAAACTCATGTTCTGGACCCATCTTCAGAGAGTCTGATTCGGAGGTGACCCTCTATGGTAACTGTGACACTGGGCTGGGTGTAGAACCAGATGGATCTGGGGGCTCCTGCACCTTGCAAAACTGTGTCAGCGAGTGTGGCATCGATGTCCGGGCATGACTGGGTGTGCCAGCCCCAGGGTGAGGCTGCAGCCATTCCCAGGTCCGCAGGGCCCTGTGGCCAGATCACGGGCAGGGCACACAGGAATGGCAGACCTCTTGGTACCCCAGTGACAGGCCCTGAGGATCTAGAGAATGGGGGGAGCTGGGGCTACTTGCCCAGGCCAGGAAGAGTGGCCCAGATGGGGTCCCTGCAGCTGTGGCTCTCGGGGTACGGAGTTGAGGCAGCTCCTCTGTTTCTCCTGCTCCTCAAGTGCCCCCCAGCATCCGGGAGGACGGACACAAGTCCAATGTGTCGGGCATGGCCGGGCAGCCCCTGACGCTGGAGTGTGACGCGAATGGCTTTCCAGCCCCCGAGATCGTGTGGCTCAAGGATGGGCAGTTGGTGGGTGTCCCCTGGGGTGGACAAGCTGCGGGTGGGATTTGGATTGGGGACGGGCCTCTGGATGGGTGTTCCTGCGTGTGCCAAAGTGTAGCAGGGAGACATGACAGGTGTCTCGGGGGATACCCTGGGGCTCAGGGCAGGAGGACCGTGGCCCCATGATGAAACCTGGGGGGCTGAGGGGAGAGAGCACATCTCTGTTCTGGGAGTCAGAAGCCCGGGGTTCCAGCCCCCAACCTGCTCCTCGGGCCTCAGTTTCTTCACTGCTGATGCCGGGAGGTGGCGAGCCCCTCATCCACTCGCGCTCTCTGGCCTCTTCTGCCCAGATCCCCGAGGTAGGAAGCCACCACCTCCTGGATGGGGCCCGGTCCCTCCACTTCCCCAGGATCCAGGAGGGTGATTCTGGCCTCTACTCCTGCCGGGCGGAGAACCAGGCCGGGACAGCCCAGAGGGACTTCAATCTCCTTGTGTTCAGTGAGTGAGGCCTGAGCCCCGCACTCCCAAGCGTGGCTGGCCCCGCAGCCCCTCCTCTTTTAGCAGAGTTGGGGGAAAGGGGAGACTTTGCCTGAGGAGAGCAGGGGGCACAGAGCAGCCCACGACAGACCCAGTCTCTGTCCTCAAGGAGTTATGGGGTCAGGGAGACAGACATTAGACAGTCACATGACTAACCAAGTAATTACTGTTGTACGTGCTGCAGTTGAGAACAGGCTGCTGAGAGCTGCAGAGGGGCCCATCCAGCCAGGGGGTGAAGGAGCTCCCGGGGAAGGTCGGGTAGGAAAAGGGAAGGGAGTGCCAGGTGGGGGGCCCAGGCTAGCAAAGGCCCTGTGGTTGGCGGGGCTTGCAGGGTTTGAGCTGTTCCCCCCACCCCTTCTCGCCCCCCAGCCCCTCCTTCTGTGCTGGGAGCTGGGGCCGCCCAGGAGGTGCTAGGCCTGGCTGGTGCAGACGTGGAGCTGCAGTGTCAGACCTTGGGGGTCCCTACGCCGCAGGTGGAGTGGACCAAGGACAGGCAGTGAGTGGCCACTGGTGGGTGGTGTAGGGGTGGGGCCTGGGCTGGGGCCAGCTGGCTGGGGGGCCGGCGGAAGGCTGTACCCTTCGAGGAGGACTGACAGGCACAGCATGTGCCACCCAGGGCCTGGGCAGAGGGCAGCACGGGCACCTCTTGCCCAGCGAGAGATTGTGCGGGAAGACCCCACTCTCACCTTGGCAGGGTCTCCTTGTCGCTCAGTCTTCTCTTTTTTTCCAACTCATTTTTTTTAGATAAAATTCACATGATGTACAATTAACCATTTTAAAGTGCTCAATTCTGGGGCATTTAGTGCATCCAGTGTTGTGCGACCAGCACCTCTACCTAGTCCAGAACATTTAATCACCCTAAAAGGAGACCCCGTACCCACTAATCAGCCAGTCCCCATTCCCCCCTCCCCTGTGCCCTGACAACTGCCAATCTGCTTCCTGATGCCACAGGTTGACCTATTCTGGACATTTCCTATAAATGGAGTCAGACAATATGTGGCCTTTTGTGTCTGGCTTCTTTCACTTGGCATAAGGTTTTCAGGGTTTGTGCACGTTGTGGCACGTGTCAGAATCTCCTTCCTTTTCATGGCTGAATAATGTCCCATTGTGCAGATGATCCCCGCGTGCTCATCCGTTCCACGACAGGTGGACGTTGGGGTGGCTTCCACCCCGTGCAGCCTGCCCCCGCAGTGCCTTGGCCGCCTGACAGTTTTCTTGTCACCATCTCTCCAGGCCTGTCCTTCCGGGAGACCCTCACCTCCAGCTCCAGGAGGACGGCCACGTTCTCAGAATCGCCAGCAGTCATTTGGGGGACGAGGGGCGGTACCAGTGTGTGGCCTTCAGCCCCGCCGGCCAGCAGGCCAGGGACTTCCAGCTCAGAGTCCACTGTGAGCCCCGACCCCTTCCGGTGCTGGCCGTGACTGTGCGGGAAGCTGCCCGCCCGGCTGCCACTGCCTTGGAGGGAGGATTAGGGCAGAACTGGGGGCCTGTGAGGGGCGAGGCCCAGTCCAAGAAAGCCGGGGGTGGGGGGCTAGAGGACACCCGGCCCAGTGTTTCCCAAACCCCTGCTGCCATCCCAGCTTCACAGAAGTGACTACTTCTGCTACCACGCAGAAGGATTCTCTCTCAACTCTTTAAATCAGTCACTTCTCTTTACACTGAAACACATTCACCTAAAAGGATGTTTAATATCTCAAGTTTAAGTGGGAAACTAGCACCACTTGGCACTAATGGAAGGGAGCTGAAAAGCGAATACAGCCAAAGAGACCAGTGTCGTAAATCCTCACGTCACAGGCCAGGCAGAGGCCACCCAGCCTGCGTCTTCTAGCTCTGTGCTAAAAGGGGAGCGTGGAAAGTGCTAGAAAGATTAAGGACAGAGTAGCAGCAAACAGAGCCTTTTCTCGCTGTGATCAGGATGGAGGGGGGTCTGGGAAGGGCGCGGCTGTTCCGTTCTGAGCTGCAGAGCTACTTCATGCTGCACCCATGTACCCTGGGGGACCACCAGTGGTGGGTGACCTGCCCTGTGAGAAGCCCTGATCTAGCCAGCCCCTCATTCCACAGATGGGGAGACAGAGGCCCAGAGAGGGGAGGTGACCTACCCCGGGTCACACAGTGAGTTAGAGGCAGTGGGGCCCAGATCCCAAACCTGTGACTCCCTCCCCCCACCTCCTGCACCTCCTGTGATGACCGGTCTTGCTTCCCACACCAGCATGTCCCTGAGTTGGCCTCTCCTGTCTGTCCCCAGACCCCCACTCTCCCCAACCCCCATGCCTTCCCTGCCCCTGCAGTAGATGCCTGTGACATGTGTGGTGCTTGTGGCCCAAGGGCATGTGCATGACACTCTGAGGGAGGACACCAGTCATCTTGGGGGCTGCCTCTGACCTGCTCCCCATCCATGTCCTTCTCAGCACCCCCCACCATCTGGGGCTCCAATGAGACAGGAGAGGTGGCTGTCATGGAGGGCCACCCGGTGCGGTTCCTGTGTGAGGCCCGAGGAGTTCCCACCCCTAACATCACCTGGCAAAAGGATGGGGCCCTGCTCCCCCCCAGCGCTGAGGTGGTCTATGCCAGGGGTGGTCGGCAGCTGCAGCTGGGGAGGGCCCAGGGCTCGGACACCGGCATCTATACCTGCAAGGCCAGCAACGCTGTGGGGACCACAGAGAAGGCCACCAGGCTGGAGGTTTACGGTGAGTGGCCAGGTGGTCAGCTGGGATGGGCAGTGGAGGGGGTGCTCTGGGACATGGTGGCCTCTGCCTGTCTCCAAAGTTCAGTGAGGGGTGGCCACTTTGAGTGGCTAAAGGCCAACAGGATAGTGGGACCAAAAGTTATCCAGGGAGAAGATAACTCAGCAGAGTCACCTCAGCTTGTCCAGCTTCCCTCACACAGGAGAGGAAACTGAGGCCAGGGCCTGTCTGGGAGGCTGCAGGAGAGCAGAATCTAGAATCCAGCTCTCCTTTCATAGGTTGGGGATTTTTGCTAAGTCAGGCCTAGACCCCAGGACCACCACCGACGGGAACTGTGTTTAGTTAGTCACTTACTGTAAGCCAGGCCCAGACCCCAGGACCACCACCGACGGGAACTGTGTTTAGTTAGTCACTTACTGTAAGCTCTGCCCAGACCCCAGGACCACCACCGACGGGAACTGTGTTTAGTTAGTCACTTACTGTAAGCTCTGCCCAGACCCCAGGACCACCACCGACGGGAACTGTGTTTAGTTAGTCACTTACTGTAAGCTCTGCCCAGACCCCAGGACCACCACCGACGGGAACTGTGTTTAGTTAGTCACTTACTGTAAGCTCTGCCCAGACCCCAGGACCACCACCGACGGGAACTGTGTTTAGTTAGTCACTTACTGTAAGCTCTGCCCAGACCCCAGGACCACCACCGACGGGAACTGTGTTTAGTTAGTCACTTACTGTAAGCTCTGCCCAGACCCCAGGACCACCACCGACGGGAACTGTGTTTAGTTAGTCACTTACTGTAAGCCAGGCCTA